GTTTTGAAAAGGTATGATTATATTATCCGCTCGTTTTATTATAAATTGAATAGTCTTTCGTGCTCTAGGTTCTGAATCGTTATAGGTTTGTCTGTTAAAATTTGAATTACGATATATAGTTTTTGTCATTTTCGTTCCAATAATTATAGCCTTTATATCTGTAAAAGTTAGTCCCGATATGAGATTGATATTGCCTGTAGTTACCGTTTTCCTAAAAGTTATTATGTCTGTTGTAATTAAAATTAAGAGTAATATTTTTCTCAAATCTATTGGGATAGTATCTGTATCCCTGAAATGGATGTGTTTTCAATACATCAGCATACGTGGGATTACGTATATCGTTAATGTTCTCTTATTTCTATTTCCCTGATTTTATTGTACAATTGACTATAATTTAGAATGCTTTCTGTATTTCCTAGTAAGAGTAAATAGTTAGGATGAATAGATTGGGTGATCATATATTACGTTTGATATTTCATTATATTCTTGAAAGATTCTGAATAGTTTTCTTTGGTTGTTCATATAGGAACGTATTTGGGGGGGACTGAAGTCAACCAATTTGGTTAGTGCCCAGATGAAGACCGATCATAGATGCATAGATTTGTATGTAACAAACTGCTATTTTAATTTAATCATCCACCCTAATTGAAGTACATCTAGACCAACTGGCCAAAATAATAAATGGTTTACAAGATAAGATGATGCTAATAACACTCGATTCAAATGTTCATGCAATAGTCTGGGTGAAGAAATAACAGGCGCCAAAGAAAAAAATTGCTCGACTTCATGGATGACCACAATCTCTACTGCATCAATGACACGATTGCACGACATTCAAAACATCAAGGGGCGAGTCATACATACACGTAAACCTTGAAACAGGGTTCACTCCTTAAATATATATGCAAATGGGAACTAAAAGAAAATTGGACAAGTAGTGATCATACAGTCATCCTTATAGAAATAAGCAAAAACTACCCAGCATACCAGGAGTTAGAGGATTCTCCACCAAAAATGCCGACTGGGAAGGCTACCGTCTCCTTCCAGAGAGCCAAATCATCGAAAAAGACTCCCTCAACACAGGAACGCCAAGTGAGATTGAATATACTGCAAATGTAATTAAAAACACGATCTTGAAAGCTTGCGAAAAAAACAATACACGAAGCTTCTAAGGAAGCGTACCTTAAAAGGAAAACGCTGTCGAATAAGGATTTAATGACTCTAAAATAAGCTGCTTATAGAAGAAAACTTAGAAGAACAACGCACCAGAGGCGCTGCCATCAGAAACCTGATGAAAATTGAATACATAACTGCAGAAAGGGAATTTTCTAAAGCCATAGAACAAAGTAAATTAAAGAGCTAGAAGGATCATGTGCAGAAGGAAAGTAAGGATAGCTGATGAGGACTAACATACATCATTGCCAAGGATAAATTTAAAACCGAAGGAGTCATAGAATCGATTAGAAGAAATGGGTTTCACACGGTACCCATACAATAAACATCCTCAATCCTACGAAAATGATTTTTCAAGACATAGTCGAAAAAGATAAGAGAGTTTTGATTATTTCACCATGGTTATTGATAATTGTATTAATCTTGTTTGAGAATCGATATTTCTGGGACATGGAACACAAAAACTATTACAACAGAGATGTTTCTCGACAAAAGTGGGAGAAAGTTGCTCAAGAAATCAACACTAGCAGTAAGTTTGAAACACTCCCTTATCGGCTCTTGTGGAAAGTAAGTGGTAACATGCTTTGTTTTTTCACCAGCTATCAGCAATAACTTAATCAACGGACTTTCAAAAAAATAAAACTTATCAAGTTCGTCAAATTTGCTAGGAGGCAGAAACGTACTTTCAGAAAACGCTCACAATATAACCACCTTGTTCTGACGAGAATTTCGGACGTACTCGTCAGAACTCGCATCCACTGTAACGTAATCCACTGTTGCTCAGCCAGACTCAAAAAAAGTTTTTTAGAACAATCTGAACATAAATTTTCGGATTTTACCATAGAAAAATCGGTAACAGATAAATCAGAAGAAGACTCAAATTTGCCTGAACCACACTCATATATACCGACAGACAAAAAATTCCACCCACTTATAACTTGATTTGTATGTATTTTTATATATTACTCAAAGTTTCACGTTTTTTGACATTTAATAATTAAGCCTTTGTCAAAAAAGTAAATTGCTAAGAAAAATGAAAAAAATAAAAAAGACTGACAGATGAAATGTGTTTTAATTTTTTTTTTTTTAATGAACTTTTCAATATCGCGCATTTCCTTCTCTTGCCGGCTTCATTACATCTCAAATACACTTCGGCATAATTTCCACCGGTTTGGAAATATCTCTTTGCTGGAGGTATCCCATTCAGCACGAAAAATAAAACTCATTTGAACGAATGGTTCTGACGACATCGTTCGTGTTCTGATATGCACCTCCCTGATAAAGGGACCTCATTGGAAGACAAATATTTGTCTGTTTGGAAGAACTCGTCCAAACTCGTCAGAATTCCTATCCACGGTGATCGTACTTGGGATCTGGGATTTTGTGGAAAAATAGCAAGTCGGTATACAAATTTAAAAGCAACCAGCTGCCCATAAGATATATAATTCAAGTGATGAGCATCAATGACTCTTAAAAGGTTAAAGTACATCTTTGGATTTTGAATTTTCAATTATTTTCTATTTAGTTTATTCTGGCTAAATCCTATTATAACTACTGGGTGTAAGCGATAAAAAGGTGAAAACACCTTTAGCGAAAAAGTACTTTCAGGTAGTTACTCCCTGTGACTATAACTATAGGTCTGATGATGACCATCGTAGCCTAGACTGCTTCACCGATGTCTCACTCATTAAGGACAAGGGAAGCGGTGCTGGAATACACATACCTAAATTAGGGATCAGCATCTCCTCTCCTCTTGGTAATAACACCTCGGTCTTTTGCTGTAGAACACTTATGGATAACAAGATTAAGGGAAAAGATATTAAATTTTTTTCCGACAGTCAGGCCAGTCTAAAATCATTACAAAAAGAACTATCAACATCTAGACTGGTAGAGGAAACTGTTGAACTCATTAATAGGACTATCACCAGGTATGAGAATAGGGTAACCCTCATATGGATACCTGCTCATAAGGGTCACTATGGCAATGAGGAGGCGGACAGCCTGGCCAAGGAAGGATCAAATACTGCGTTTGTCGGACCACAACCGGTATTACCCCACTCTTTAAGCACAGCAAAAGAGAGTATAGGTAGCTGGGGCATGAACCAATTCCTTAAGGAATGGAATATGTTCCCTGGATGCAGGCAATCGAAGGAGTTTCTGAAGGAAATCAAACCTAAAGAAACGAAATGGTTACTCTCTAACTCTTGGAGGGGAATAAGGAGGCTGATAAGTATCCTAACGGGCCATTGCCCCTTAAGAAGACACCTCTTCATAATGGGTACTCTACCAGACCCCTTCTGCCGCTTCTGCGAAACAAAAGAAGAAACGGCTCGACACTACCTCGCAGAATGCGATAGGTATGCTAGGGAAAGATTTAATACTTTCGAAGGAGAGGACATAACCAAAACACTCCCCAGGATAAAATGGTCCACAATCCTGGGGTTTGTGAATAGGTCCAATAGGTTCATGCAGGACTCGTGAGCCGACCAGGTCCCGGATCTTTTAGGTATCGGGTACGGGCCTACTCAGGCTTTTAACCCCTCGGGTCCTGGTCGCCCGCCCTGTGTAATATACATATATAAATCCTTTTATCTTTTTTTTAAGTAATTGTATTTGTAGAGACTTAATGTAACGAAGCAATTCCTTAATTAGACAGTTATGCCCCCTTTTGTTAATAAAATTCCTATTTTCCGGAACCCATAAAATCTTTCTTTAAAATTTAATAAAATTCCGTGTAATTAAAAAATTTATTTTTCTCTATTTAAAGGGGATTTCCGAAGACACACGCTAATAAATAGATTCTCTTGATAAGAGATAACCACGCCTGAGAGATACTTCAAATATAACCATCCGCTTCAGGCATCCAATCGTTTTCTTGCTGCAATCATTGTTGTGTTTCAAAATTTCTTTGAGATACATAAATAGGCATAGGCAGAGTCCCAGAGGAGTAACCAACAATTCTGCCCGAAGACAAATAATCCCGCCATCCACCTTCCCTCCTTGAGGTACTTTTCTAACTTTAACTTTTGGCCAGATTCCTTCTGCAAGAGTTACTGTGTCAGTCTACCCGTACACTTCTATTGCAAAACATTTTTTTTTTTTTTTTTTTTTTTGACTGCCCTACCGCCATTCAGTCTATGTCATTTTGTTGGTGACCATGCCAACCAACCCGGGACACCCACAAAGGGCACCTCCACATACGCCCGCTTCTCATTCGGGTAAACACTTAATTTCGGCAGCATTAGGAGGATGTGGATAAAAACCGTACATGGCCAGAGGGGCCCCTGGAAAAGTCCACATCCCCCCAATTCCCGGGGACCATTTGCCCTTTGCATGTGGAGCACCCTCCGGAGAAAACCCGAGCCAGCCAACCCAGCACCCCTGGAACTACCCAGGCTCCTCACCTCTTAATCAATCAATTAATAATTAAGTAATTAATAAATAATCAATAAAAATGTACCAATATTAACAAACACAAAATAAATAGTCAATAAATAAATCAGAATTTACAGAGGTAATAAATAATCAATTGGTAAATAAATAAATAATAAATTACTAATATAAATGTAAGCGGACGACGGCGCGGCGGCCGAATAATCTCTCAAAATTCGCTTGCTTTTCTCTAAGCGACAAGAGATGAATCGGAGTAAGCGCGTCGCTACTTATCCTTGTGTAGGGGAAGGTAAGGTTCTCGAATTCAATAAACCAGTAACATTTATTGTACACAATTCCGTCTCTTAACGGTACCCAAACCACAGAATCTTAATTAATCTACAAGTCAGCCACATCTCTAAATCTGGGATGAGTCTATCAACAAAGGGACTTACCCCAAACGACGCTCGCCACGATTAGTGTCCACAGCATCTTTTCTCTCGGCCGTCGACTTGGCTCGATGGGTCGCAACGGCTGGTCCTCGCTGGCTCTAGCTGGCTGAGAGCAATGCCAGAACGTAGATTGCAGAGTTGCACATCACAGTTTCTTCACATCAAAAAGGATCTGGTAGGTCTTGTATATCGCGGTAACATGTACACTGTTCCCATGAATCTAGTCCAATTTGACTGCGCCAGTTATAAATTTGAATCAACGACACTCGTTTTTAAAAACGATTTATTTATTATATATTATTAAAGTTTACATAAATAAACCTAAAAAAATATTATAAAAACTTAAACTTATTAACTTTACATAAAAGTGAATAACTTGCAAAATAAAAATTAGGACGAGGTCGTGATTAAGATGCGGTTCAACTCCGAGTCTGAGTCCGTGTATCAGTCTCTCTTGAAAATGGTGGGAGAGGGTCCGTCTATAGAGTTGCTGAGTCTGCAGGATCTATTATAATGACAGAAGCAGCCGTTGCGGATGTAACGTAATATATATCATGCCAGACTTTTATCTAGGCGTACAGCCGAGCATACATTATTTCTTCGATGACTCTGGTTGTTCGGTGCACTTGAACAGTCGTAGTGTTGACGTCGGAAGCCAAATGGTGATGGTCGGTTATTATTTTTCACTCCTTAATAATACACATTAGCAAATTATCAAAATAACTTAAAAACACCTCTAATAGAGAAATTGTCTGAATGGTCTGTCTTCATCCAGCTGTTTACCTGATTTACGGATAATGATTATTTCCGCGGTCTTCCTTGTTTCTTTAAAAGCTTTTTTTTATGGTCATCATTGATCAAATTTTTATTTGTTTTTGAATTTTATGTTGTTTTTTCTTCTTTTCTCAACAACTGTTTTTTAGAATTAGATAAACATGGCTTTTTAAAAGTCTTATTTTTACAACCGAACTTATTTTTGGCATGCAAAATATACAATAACCATCAGTATTGTTTCCATCTACTTTTCATAACGAACTTATTTCATTATGAGTTTTGATTCATTTAGTTTGTGTAGACGTGATCTGTGTCAGAAGTGGAAATACTCGGTATTAAAGAGGACTGAAAAGTTTTTTTTTTTTACCTTTTTATTTGTTTGTTAATTTTTTTACTCAATAATAATTGTTTTTTGGAATTAGGTTATAAATATTTTCTTTTTAAATGTCTTATTTACAACCAACCCTATTTTTCACATGAAAAATATGAATAAATCCATTATATTTGGTGGTTTGATTGACCAAATTATTTAATCATTTTACGTAAGGTCTTGGTTGAAATGAAAAAGTCAGTGTCACGAGCGGGATTCGAATTCGGCAAAAAAGGATAAAATCGAATACTGATTACACGATATTTGAAAAATGGAAAAAAGGAGGGAAAATTCGAAAGGGAATCACTGTCCGAGTGGATCGAAGTCACGATAGCTCTAGTGGTTAGAGCAGCGGTGTATTGAGCCGAAGGTCGTGGGTTCGAATGACACTGACTTTTTCATTTCAACCAAGAACTTACGTAAAATGATTAAATAATTGAAATATGAATAAATCTAAATACATTAAAAATTGAAGGGTGGAGAGTTTATTTTATCTATCAGTATATTATGTATAAATATGTACATATTCACTATAGGCGCAAAAATTAGTTTTCACTGAAAATTTCACGGTTTGTTTTTATTAGTGTCAAAAGTGGTTAAAGACGATGTAAGGCACATAATTTACAAATAAGATACGTCAAGTTTTAAAAAATATAGGCCAGGAATTTGTGGCATCCATTTTCTGTGCTGTTTTTTCAGTCAGGCAGCGACCACTTAGAATTCCTGAATCTCCCGAGTCTTTAGAATTCTGATATGGATGTGCTAACACTCAATAAACAAAAATGTAGTAAGAGTAACTAAGGAGCATTCTTTACCGCTGTCAGTATCTTTAGTATTGCAGCATTTGTTGGAGAATCGATAACCTATCCTGTGGCCTGACCGTACAAAGACCTTTAAGCCTTGTTCTCACGGCTTGTGACTTGGCGAACTTGGTCGAATGTCATACCTCACGCTGTGGAAACGTACAGAATCGTTACTACTCGACATAGCTCGAGGTAGCATAGCTTTTCCCGTGTTTTGCCCGTAAATACTTCAAACATCAAAGGCCTGGGCTCGACGGATGCAAAATGACTTAATTAAAAACATTTACGCAACGGTAACAACCGATCGAGATTCCCCAAGCCACCTTTCAGCACCATGAGAACGTCTGGCGGTCGGAATAGGACAGACCACGACAGATCACAAGTTTGTGGGAACATGGTTTAAGCCGAACCATCAGAACTGAAAAAAATGCTCCGAGTGAATTCAATTTATTAACTGTCGAACGTTGGTGAATCAACAACATACATAAAAATATTTTATATATTATATAATGACCTATTATCCCACCTTCAAGAAGGAAGAATCAAGAAACAAATTCAAGAAGANTCTTACCAATTCTCTCAATTAATTAAGGTTTTTAGTTGAGATAAAAAAGTCAGTGTCATGAGCAGGATTCGAACCCATGACCTTCGGCTCAATACGCCGCTGATCTAACCACTTGACCTATCGTGACTTCGATCCACTCGGACACTAACTGCCCATTGCAACCCCACCTTTTGAATTTTCCCTCCTTTTTGCCATTTTTCTTACCAATAATATTTGTTTATACTATGTTTTAAATTGGAAATCAATTAAAAGAAAACGCACTTAATCCTTAATCCCAAACAAGGATAAAGGATTTTTCGCTGTTTACTTTTTACAGAATTTAAAATGTTTATTCAGTCTCATTTGAATTCTGAAGCAATAAACTGTTTAGTTTTAATCTTTGTTTTCTTAATTTCAGTTTTTAAACTTAAAAATGCTACTTAGTGCTGTGGATGTTGCGCATGACGTGGTAGTTATTGATGATGGACGTTCCATCAAGTATGCCAGTTCTGAACCAGTTCTGGATGCCCTAGGGTTACAGAACTACAGGATGACCGTTTTTGTACTTTGAGAAGTTTGCGAAACCGGCATCTTATTGTAGTTCAATCGATTCAACTGGTCCAGAAAGTTCTATGTGTCCAAATTTCTGAACGCACTGCTCGAAGAAGATAAAACGAGTTTGGACTAATGACTTTTTGCCCCTTAAGAGGACCATAATTGATCAGAAACCACAGAGTTGAACGGCTCCAATTTGCTCACGAACACAGCTATTGGTGATGTTTGGACGATTGGTCTGCTGTACTTTTTACAGATGAGTGTAGATTTGCTCTAAGATCTCTAGATAGGCGTGAAAGAGTGTGGAGAAGGTGAAATAAAATGTACGAAAACAGCTTTTTAAGTAGGCGTCGAATAAGTTTTGAACTTCAAATTATTTGTCAGGAATAAGTACATGTCTTTTACAAATGATGACATTGTACTAGAAAATAAATGTAGCAGCGTGAACAAGAAAATAATTGGATATTAAGATCTGTTTCAGATATCCTTGGCCCAAAAATAACATCTTTTAAATCTACAATGTTAGTTATTTTTTTAACTAGACACACCAATTTATTTTTATGCAATATATTTCTGTTGCTAAGGCACTTCGGGCCACGTCCTGGTCCCTCTCCAGTGCTCTCTATATAGCTAAATTGATAACCTTGAAACAGAATTCTAGATTTAAAATATTTTTACTACCAAATTGTTTGCCATCGAAAAACCTCTTGAATATATTTCGAAATTATCAGTCACCAAGGTTTGTATTATGTCCGAGAGCAAAAGTGCTATACAGTATATTCAAAGTTTTAGCAACAACTCAAAGTTGGGCTATCTACTTTGCGAAATTATTAAAAGAATTTTTGATTTCAGCCGACAACGCGAGAACGTGGTTTTCTGTTGGGTAAGAGGCCACAGTGACTTTTACTTTAGTCAAGTTACTTCTGAATTTTGTTTGGTCTTCTTTTTGGATCGCAGTAAAGATCCGAACTATCATTATCAACATTATCATTGAGTACCAATGCAACGTCCCAGGCGGGTGTCGCACCCGGAGCCGGTTGGAACCTTCCAGTGAAGGAAAAAAACAGTCCAGTCGTTGTTGTTTTGCGTCGCTCGTGTGCGTAGCTGCCGGCAGCTGAACTCGTGAACGGTTACCAGGAAGTCGTGTCGTCCATTAATCGTGGCTGTCGATCGTGATATCCCTCGTGTCAATTAGTCGTGGCGAGTTGCGATATTCGTCGAGGATCTTAACTCGTGGTGAGAGGAGTAACGGAAGCGAGTGGCAGCGTTCGGAGGGCTGGAACGACGCACCGTGCCAACATCGAGCGGCGGTGCAGCTTCGCAGGTGAGACGAAAGACGTCACCAGTGGGTCCGTAACCTCCGGGTTACAGGCCGTTTCATCTATAGGATCATACACCTCCCGTGACGTCACGGCAGTCCTCATGCATCACCAGCGTACTACATATCATAGCAATAAGATTCTTTATCATTTTAGAAAGCTTTCCATTTATTTTCTGTATTTCATTTAAAAGTGCCCTTTTAATTTTCATTTCTTCATTGTTACATTTAATAAATTTGCTAATCTATCCAAATCTGGCGTACCGGCCTTTCTTTTAACCCTGTTACGTTTAAAAGAAGGCCGTAGCGTTTTATGTTTCTACAGTTTGGGGAGTTAATTGGGCCTAGATAATTCTTGACCCCTTCCCGCAAAACATCTACCTTTACAAAATAAAACAGAGAAGATTAAAACATTTGCTTTTCAATTGCGAGGAATCTCCGGAAACTAGACCTCTGGCAGAAGTTTTTGAAAATAACGTCAATGACTATACATTTAACGTAGTTGAACAATGTTGGAATTCTAAGATCTGCTTATTAAAGCTTAGTACTGGGATTATTATAGTAAGACATGATGACGACAGCTAACATTAGCTATGACAAGAATTTAAATTTGCCATATCAAGACAGTTACGATTAAGGTAATCTATAGGAGTAGATGGGTGGTACCGGTGGGTAGTTTCTCCATTCTTGTTTTTCTTAATATTTATTCATACATTATTACTAGATACCAAAATGCAGGTAGTCGTAATATACAATAAAAGAAAAAAAAGGTAATCTCATTATTTATGATCAGTGGTGATAGTAGCAAATAAAATTACTTCATACATTTCGACTGTTAGCTAGTTGTAAAAGTGCCTTACTACGGTTTGACTTATTTAAATTAAAAAATATTTTATCATTCCAATTAATTATACTTTAATCAAATCAGGAGCAGTATATAATTTATTGTTCACAAAGAATAGTGTCTTAACTTCTCATCGTGACTTAGAAACATAAATTTTAAGAGTTACTTCGAAAAGTAAGAAAGCGTAACTTTAGGCTTCGATCTTATTTAAAAATTAATCATTTTATGTAAGTAAGTTAATTAAAGTTTTAGGTTGAGATAAAAAAGTCAGTGTCCCGAGCGGGATTCGAACCCACGACCTTCGGCTTGATACGCCGCTACTCTACCACTTGAGCTATCGTGACTTCGATCCTCTCGGGAACTAACTTCCCATCTCAACCGCACCTTTTGAATTTTCCCTCCTTTTTGTCATTTTTCAAATGTCCTGTAATCGATTTGATTCTCGGCGACAATGAAATGGTATTGAAATGGAGTATTAGTGAAGTATACTTCATTTTAATCCATTAAATTCACTATTTTTCGTGGTCCGCTTGACCAATTGATACAAATTATTCAATAATAATTGAAAAATGACAAAAAGGAGGGAAAATTCGTAGGTGAGGTTGAGATGGGAAGTTAGTGCCCGAGGGGATCGAAGTCACGATAGCTGAAGTGGTAGAGTAGCGGCGTATCAAGCCGAAGGTCGTGGGTTCGAATCCCGCTCGTGACACTGACTTTTTTATCTCAACCTAAAACTTTAATTAACTCAATTGTATTAATTGGTCAAGCGGACCACGAAAAATAGTGAATTTTATGTAAGGTTTTTATGTTTGTACGTGCTTTTCAAGTGGTAGAGCAGCGGCATATTCGTGGGCGGCAAGGTCGTGGGTTCGAATCCAGCTCGTGGCACTAACTTTTTCATTTCAACCAAAACCTTACATAAAATGATTAATTAATTGAAAGAAATAATTTGGTCAATAGACCACTAAATATAATGGATATACATTTAACCTTGAAACAATGATAGCTTCAGGAAACTTGGTACACAAATTGATATTTAAATGTATAAAAAAATGTAATTTAAAGTTTAAGTGTAACTATGGGTATGTTGACAATGCATGCATATCCTCAGAAGCGACTCTGGTTTTCAAATGTATCTCGTACAGGGCAAATTTTTGCTGCTGTTTCGTCTGTAGTTCGCCTGGTTCTTTTGATCGCAGGGGATTGCTACTTCTTGAACAATGGCATGATATTAAAGAAATATAGTTAAAAACAACACAATTCAGTTAAAGTTATTGTACAAAATTTAAAAATAAAATCGTTTTATATTTTTATCATTAAGTATAATTTATTGGAAAAGAGGATCGTGGAAATCCATGTATCAGGGGGCGGGCTAAGCTCTAATAAAGCGCCTGGATCACGTTTTTTGAAGAGTATGAATCAGTCAAGGTCAAAGGCAATTTAGTGTTAATAAATTCAAAGGTGCTGTTACTCTGATGGCAAGTCGATAGACATAAGAATCGATTTTCAAAGATCATTAATTTAACGCGGATTAACCATTCTGAATTCAACCAATTTAAAAATAAAAACATTTACACGAATGCCTCCTAGAAGAGCAAACTATATTGTAAATATGAGATTGATCCGTATGTGTAGTTGAATTGAGTTTTATTAGCCCAAAACCTCCATCTGAATGAAACATATCGAGTGCCATATGTCATAAGTCAGCTGTATCAGCTGAACTCCCTCCTCGCCATTGGTGAAAATGTTGGGATTCTATAAGCGCTCGATAGGTCATAAGGCAGATACTGGGTTGGGCGCCGTATTTCACTTTAACGATGCTTCGTATTACCTTTAGTTCTTTTTCGCATTTTCCCAACACATATTCCATGTGGGATTTCCACAGGAACTTTTGGTCGATAACTAACCCTAAAAACTTTTTGTGTTTGAAGAGTGAATGTTGTAGGAACCAGTCCTTATATCCTCTGGTGGGGTGATCTTATACTGACGAGAGAGGAACATGGCTGAACATTGACCCTCATTTTACCATATTTCAAAACCCAGTTCTGTATTCCATCTATGGAATTTGTTAGCGGTTTGTGATAGGCACTCAAAATTTTATTGGACAGTCTCGCTAACCGTGTAATGTCGATGTCATCCCCGAATTGGGATTTTTTACTTCTACCTTCTTAAGTGCAAATTGCAAATTCTTAAGAGAAGTCGTGTAGATAGAAAATAATTAGGGACTTAAAACTCCTCCTTGGGGGAGTCCCATATATATACGTATATATTGTATCTTGGAGAATATCCAATTCGTCCATTGCTAGATGAAATGTTCAGTATTTCACCAGATTGTTGGCGGCTCTTATTATGACTTTGGGGATTCCAATTTCTACAATGCAATTTTTGGAATATTTTAAAAATAAAAATATTTACACGATTACCTCTTAGAAGAGCAAACTATGTTGTAAATATGAGATTGATGCGTATGTGTAGTTGAAATGAGTTTTATTATGTTTAATATGTTTTTTATTTTACTTAGTTACTTTATGTTTAATAACTGTGCTATGGCGACAGTCCGTTACAAAAGTTGCTAGATTATCGCATGTATTTTTTTCCGGAATCGATGTTGAAATTCTGTTTGTCAACTACCCAATCCAATCGGGGCTTAACTATCCTTTCGTACATTTTTGAGAGGCTGGATGTAAGTGTTGTTGGTCGGTCGACTTTTCAAGAGGTTTGTAGCAGCTCAACGTTGTTTCAATTTGCAAAACTTTGGTAAAGGTAAATGCTTAGTTCTTTTAAACCCAACCCTATTAAGCTCATAGAAAGGTTTGTTAAATCCTTTTATAGGTTTCACAGTATTTCATCTTTTAGTAATTTTTTTTTCGTCTCTTTGTCAACATTGCATTGCAAGTCTCTTATTTGGCACTGTAATCTGATTGTATTATTTGTCTGTTCGCCAGATAGCTTTCGCCATAAGGAGAAAGGAATCTGCCTAATTAACTAGTTAGACGGGCACAAGAATGTAGGCAAACAACAATTCTGCCCTTCCTTCAAGATCCGTATTACAATGCATTCAGGGTTTTTTTAAGCGTAAAAAAGGGGTCTGGATTGAGTTTTGGAAACTCCATCAGTGACCGTGAAGCCAAACTTAAAAAGTAAATTTTACCAAAACACGGACAGCTTATTACGAGGCACGCAGCGTTTATTGGAGGGTTTAATTGAAACAAAAGATTAAAGTCGTACTAGTGAAGCAATACAATGTTTAAATCGTAAACAACGCCTATTTTCAAACGGAATAGGTAAAAGTCGGAGATTTTTAATAAATCAGATTAGATAATTTTCTGTATTTTTACTAAATATGTATATACCGAGCCGAGTTAATGTAATAAAATACAATATAGAAAAACTCTTTCGCTTTCTAGGAGTTTTTGTACTTGTACGTAAAATGTAGCTTTTAATAAATAGATATCAACTTTTGGACCCAAAAAATATATACCTTTTATTAAGCCTAAGGTTGAAATATAGGGTGTTCTTTTTAGATGGTCCGGCTGAATTTCTCTTCACCCAATGACGCTATAAAAAATACGTGTTTAATATATTTTAGTCTTATTTCGGTTTTTCCTTTTTTGGGATAAAAATTAAGCAGGGTTCATCAGACCCAGTTCTACTTCAAAATTTCAAATACGACTCTCTACATCCTGACATATCATTTTAAAGGATTTCTTACGCTGAAAACAATGGTGCAATTGGATTATTAAATTGGTCAAAAATGACAAAGTTATAGCAAAAGTTTGAAAAAAAAATCATTTGGTTTGACATTTATTAATCACATTTCATGTTTGAATTGCCAGTCTTGCTTAAAGTTGCAAAGATTTGCTCTTTTTAACCACTCTGCACCGGTGCTCAGAAAGAGTCAGGGGAGGTGAAGGGAATGACAAGAATTTTCTTTCCTTTGTCTCAGTTCTTCAACTGGCACAGACACTGTTTTTTAATTGGCCCCACAAAATAGTCAAGTGGAGTTAAATCGGGTGACTGAGGAAGCCAACAGATCGGGCCATTAGATCCTACCCACGCGTCACGGTTATATACGAAGCCGGCCACCGATCATCCTTATCAAAAGATCATCAATAATTATTACGGTAACATGTCAAACACACACACACACGTCCCGATTATAAAAATCCTTAAACCCCTAAACATGATTGAACTTAGCGAGAAAAGTTGATTGTTTTTTCATACCCCATGTTTTAATTTTATTATTTCTTCGATTAGGTTTCGTGGTCCGATTGACAAAATAAATTCTTTTCAATTAATTTTTCTTTAAGTAGGGTATTGGTTGAGATAAAAAGTCAGTGCCACGAGCGGGATTCTAACCCACGATCTTCGGCCAAATACGCCGCTACTCTACCATTTGAGCTATCGTGACTTCGATCCACACGGACACCAACTCCCCCTCTCAACCTAACTTTCGAATTTGATTCTCGGCGACAAATGAAATGGCCACAGAGAGCTTTAGTGAAGTATACAACATTTTGTTTAAATCGATTAGGTTTCGTAGTCCGATTGTCCAAATAAATTCTTTTCAATTAATTAATCTTTAAGTAAGGTATTGGCTGAGATAAAAAATTTAAAAGTGGCAAAAAGGAGGTAAAATTCAAATGGTGGGGGTTGAGGTAGGAAGTTGATGTCCGAGCGGATTGAAGTCACGATAGCACAAGTTGTCGAGCAGTGGCGTATTTAGCCTAAGATCGTGGGTTCGAATCCCGCTCGTGACACTGACTTTTTCATTTCAGTCAATACCTTACATGGAAAGAATAATTAATTGAAAGATGTAACTTGGTCAATTGACCACTAAAACGTAAATGAATTATTAAAAATATTATATCCAATAAGTTGTATGTATTCCTTATAGCAAACTCTACTCATGGCTTTATATACGCCTTAATTTTGAAATGTTACAATTGGTTATATTGAGATAAACCAAATAATTATTATAAATTCATCAGTTAAAAGTTAATTAAATATATAAATTCATCAGTTAAAGATTAATTAATTGAAAAGAATTTATTAATTATTTTCAGGAGTTTAATGAGTGTCAACCTTCTATATTAAGGGCATCCTGGGCTTGGCACACCCAATTTTTTTTTTTTATTTCTCATGGTGACACATCATTACTAGTTTTCATTTATGGCCTGTATTAAATATTAAATTTAGCCACCAACCAAAAGTTTAAATTTTCCAAGGGTTTGGGTCCGACCTGCAATAAGGAAACCCCACGGCTGCTTTACTTCCTCCCCACACGTATTACCTACCTATCGACCCTAGCAGCCTGATGCAGCAGATGGATGTTGCCTTGCCTAAGACCGATTCGGGCGCAGCATCGTCCCAGCTAGTCAATGGACTACCGCGCTCCATTCTTATATATATATATATATATATATATATATATATATGTAATATCTTAATTTACGCACACAAACGAGATTACAATGTACCAACTAATTTATTTTACCTGACACCCGACGCCACGGACTTCGGGGCTTCCTCGTGCGTGATCCTGTGAACAACTATGGCCGGGTTATATACGAAGCCGGCCACCGGTCATCCTTATCAAGAGGAATAGCACCCCCTCTACACCGATCAGGAGAGTCAGTTAAGTACCCTGAACAGTATTGTCTTGATTCTTGATTGAGCCTGGTATGAATCTCTCCTGGCGCTCACTCATTCTTAAAATATTCGTGAGTACCGCTATATTTTCTCGCATAACGACTCGTTTGACATTAGAAATAGAGGCCATCTAAAATTTCGGAAATTTTATTTAAGTTTGTTTGTTCATTTTTAAGAAGAATATATTTTATTTTTAATCAAGGAAGTAGTCCTCTTTTATTTCACTCTTTTGGTTTCTCCTATTTTATTTCACCCTCATTCTTCCGTTTTATTATTTTGAGGAGAAAATAATAAAACACCCGCGCACTTTGCTAAGCTGCAGGTATTCACAAAGAAGAAGTTGAGCTTCACCATCCGGTTGAGAGAAGCCTCTGGAAATTTAAGTATCAAAAATCCCTCAGGGTACGGAAGCTGACACACGAATCCTATCGAAATTACTCTGCCGGTTTCTTTTTACCACGACTGTTATTTTTTGGCCAATCCGATTGCATCATTGTTTCCAGCATAGAAAATCCTTTAAAATGATGTGTCAGGATGTTTAGGGTCGTATTTGAAATTTTGAAGTTGGTACCCTGTATTATTTTTCTCCAAAAAAAATTTGAAACTATACTAAAAAATATTAACCATTTATTTTGCTATATTTTTCATATTGTCATTGGTTCAAGAGAAATTCAGCCAGGACATCTAATAACGACACCCTGTATATGTTTGTATATATTTTATATATATATATATATATATATATATATATTCGCTTACGTTTTATATTTACTGATTAACATTCCGTCA